TAGCCAAAAACTAGGTCAGTATGACCGGTTACTGAAATCAATGCTAGAAAAAGCCCCTAACCTCTCTCTTGATGACCTACAGTGGAAACAAGCCTCTCTTCCCATAAGACTTGGGGGGCCTTGGAGTTCGAACAGCAACGCAAATCACTGTTCCAGCCTTCCTGTCCTCCTCATCGGCATCCGACGACCTTGTGAAGGAAATTCTACCTGCCCACTTACATCATCTGGCAGGTGTACATGATCCCAATTTTACACGCTGTGCCACAGAGTGGGCCTCTCGTGCAGGACAATCACCTCAACCACCATCCCCGAAAGCCCAAAAGCAGTCCAGCTCGGATGGCCCCATTGTAGACCAAGTTGCTGCAGAGTGCCTGGGTGCTGCAACAACACAACACGACATTGCTCGCCTCACAGGAGTAGCAGCCCCACATGCAGGGGATTTCTTGTTAGCAATCCCAATGTCAGCAACAGGCACGCGTCTCACACCACATGACCTCCGCCTTGCTGCCCCAATCCACACCAGATATAGGTGTATTTGCGGCGAGGTGGTGGCTGACAGGTCCGACCACCATGGCCTACTCTGCCAAAGCACAGGGGGATGGCACTCGAGGCACAGTGAAGTTAACGACATCATCAAGAGGAGCCTCACCACAGCTGGATGCCCAGCTGAAAGAGAGCCCCGTTTCCTAGCGCCCCCATAACTCTGATGGTCTTATTGGTCGCCCAGATGGTATCACAGTGAACCCCTGGAAGAACTGCAAGCAGTTGGTATGGGGCTACACGTGCGTATCAACCCTGGCCAACACTGGGGGGAGCCCCTACGGCTCCCCGGAGCTATCCATGGCTGATATGGATACCCTAACTATTTTGCATCAGTCGATGTGGGTGGAGTTCTAGGCCTACCGGGGACCACGAGCCAGAACCTGGCCCCCTCAGAGAGGCACGGGGAGCAATGGCCCATAGAAATGCACATGTGATTTGGAGCATTCTATATCTGCCATCGACCGGGACAGGCACCCAGAAAGGTAAGCGCCACAAAACAAACCCCTATTCTGGTTAAACAACAAAAATCGACAAACGAGTGGACAGAACTCCCCCAGGAAAACGAACTAACAAGCATGACGTCACGCGAGCCGCGCCGCATGTCTGCGCAGCTCCCCCCTCCCCGGGAGGGGGAAGGGGGAGCCCCAGACCCCCGCGCCGGCGATCCCCGCCCCAGTTCCTCGGCTGATGGGATCATGCACGGTCGTGTGGCTCCAGCTCCAGTCTTGTCTCAGTGCTGTGACTTGTTTGCAGTGCTGCTCTTACGGTGGTCGTGTGAACTGGGAGTAGTATTCTCAGGTACTCGGGCTACATGTGCTTAGGGTCACCTTCCCTGAGTGCCCTGTAAGTACCGCCCTTGGGGCTTGGGGTTGCCTTCCACAAGTCACCTTGGGTCTACCTCTGTTGGCTTTTTGCTGCTTGGCGTTTGGCCGCCCCGAGGGTTTGGGGGTTTCACTCCCTTGTTTACCTTGGGGTAAGTGGTAGTTATCGCACTGGTGGGGCGCAGGGTACGGGGTAGCTAGTTTTCACCTATGACAGCGGCGGGCTCTGTTTCCTCTGGGTACGTTGTCCACTTGTGTGGTTTTTTCTTTTATTTTTGTTTTTGCCTGGTAGGGGGGTCTTCCTTGTGTTTCCCCCCCCCCTTATATTAGGTTCGTTTGTGTGGTGGCACCCCCTGCTTTGCCCTCGCGAGTGGACACGTCCCATGGGTTCAGCTTTAGCAGTTTGCTTGGTAGTTTGGGGCACCGGTTAGCAGTGCCCTGCCTGGGATAACCCTTAGCAGACCCAGTCTAGGGGCCCTGGGAAACCCCCCCGGGGGCTCTTGGGTCCGATAGTGGAGACCCTTGCGTCCCCTCTCGCTTTGTGCGAGTTGAGGGTTGCTCTGTCCCTTTGTCTCAGGGTGACTCTCCTTGTTTTTGCCTTCGTCATGCTGCCTGTTGGGTCGGTGACACATTCGACCCTTGAGTCCTGCGAGCTTTGTTGCTTGTTCGTGACTCCATTCACCCAGTCTGCTGATGAATTCCCGTGGGTGCAGGCAGCTCGCGCGTTGCAGGGTAGGATGTTGCAACGCGCTCTGGTTTGTCGCTTCCCGGACGCCCCGATGCTGCCCCGCTTGTGTAGGGACCCAGACTTGGGGGTTTAGGTCGCTTCGGCCTTGGTTCCTTCCACGCCCCCCCTTGTTTTTCCCCCTCCTGCTTCCGGCCCGTACGCATCTGCAGGCTTCGGGGTCGGGGCGGGGTTAGAGGTTCTGAGACTTGGGCAGTTTCGGGGGTGGCCTTGTCCGGGGTAGCTGCGGAGGCATTCGAGTCTGTTCCTCCAGCCGATGCTCCGGGGTTTTGACCAGTGGGCCCCCTTCTCTTTCAGCTCTCTCGGCTGCCCCGGCTTTTTCTTGTGAGGCGGGGCTTTTGAGGTCGACTCGGTCCCGGGGCCTGGTGCAGAGGCTCCTGGGGTTGGGGAGGAGTGGCCTTAGGGGCCTTGGGCTCCATTGCGCCCCGCCTGGATTTCCGTCCTTCTGAGCGGGGCTTACTGTTATGAGGAGTGGGGTTTTCTTTCCCCCCTCTGCGTACGATTTGGGCTTGGGTTCTGCTCCTCCCCGGGTTCGGTTCCGTGTCCCTGTGGTTTCTTCGATTCCGTCTTCAGGAGGTTTTCGGCCAACCGCATCTCTTCGCCTGCGGTGCGGTTGGCCTTTGCGGCTTCCTCCTGCGTGTCCCGGAGTTTGCCTCCATACTGGTTCCTTCTGTTCTGGACAGGTTGGGCTCCTTGTAGCCGTTTGGGCTCCTTGTCGCCGTTTGGGCTCCTTGTCGCCGTTTGGGCTCCTTGTCGCCGTTTGGGCTCCTTGTCGCCGTTTGGGCTCCTTGTCGCCGTTTGGGCTCCTTTGTGGCCGTTTGGGCTCCTTTGTGGCCGTTTGGGCTCCTTGTGGCCGTTTGGGCTCCTTGTGGCCGTTTGGGCTCCTTTGTGGCCGTTTGGGCTCCTTGTAGCCGGTTGGGCTACTTCTCGCCGCGCCTGGTTGGGCTACTTCTCGCCTGGTTGGGCTACTTCGCGCCTGGTTGGGCTACTTTCTTTCGCGTCCTGCGCATGCGCCGTGGGAGTTTGTTTTGGTTCCGGGCGGTGTGCACACGTGTTCTGCTCCAATTCTCTCGGGGGGCTTCGCCTCTCGCTCTTTTCTTATTCCCATCCGTGCCCCGTTGCTTTGGGGGTGTTCTGGGGTGCCGCTGTGTGGAATTCATGAGGTTTTTCCCTGCGTTCTAGGGTGGGGAGCCTCTTTCGCTGCTTCCCTCCTCCTCTCCAGCATGGGCGCACTGGCCGCCTCCGGCGGATACGGACTCGAACGCTTGCGTCATGGCCCTTCAGGGCCTATGTTCTGCAGGTGAGTTGGTGCGGTTTTGGCGTCTCCTTCGTCCTGACGCTGTTTTTGTTTTTGGGAGTAGGAATGGGTGTACATACGTACTTGAGAACGTGGACCGTATCACCCGAGGTGCCTACTGCAAAGCTATTAGCCCATACTGGGCAGCTCTTGTTCTCTCCACCTGATTCCTTCCTCGGTTCACGGGTGTCTGCAGGTGGCCTCTTGTCCCTTCCGAGGCGGTTCTTGCCTGTACTACTCCTGCCCCTCTCCTATGCTTGTCTAACCTTGCTTGAGTTCGGGGCCCCGCCTCCACCTTGTTCCGCAGTGCAACGGTGGGGGTGCCTGTTTGGTAGTAAGTTTTCCTGTGTCGGAGGTTTTGTGTTCGCCTCCTTGTGTTTGCAGGTTGGGTTCTGGCTTTGTTTCCGCCTCTCCCCTGTCGTTTGCCTGTCGGGCGGATTCTGTGCTTCTTGGGCACTCTCATCTCTGCTCTTGGGGCTGTGTATGGGGTCAGCCCATGTTGGGCTGCCTAATGTGTTCCTTTGATTGCCTGTTACACTGCACACATTTCTTCTACCGTCCCTGTGGCTCAGTTGGGTGCTCGGTTTCCGCCTATGTCCCCTTGTGTGCCACTCGTGTACGATTTATCTATCTTCTCTGTCGCTTCCTCGGGGAGTGTGGTGACGTTTTGCTGCGGTTTTGGTACTGCAGCTGCATGTTGGGGTTGGTTGTGGCGTTATTTTCGGCCCTTCCGTGCTCCCTCTGGGGCTCTCCTTCCTTGCCGGTCTTGCCGTGCCGGGCCTGGTTTTTCCATGTTCCTTAGTTTGACTGTCTTGTCCTCGCCTCATTGTGCTGGCTGGGGATGAGCTTGGGGTCTTCGTCTCGCCCCTCGCCTATCCTCCGGTTTCGGTTCAAGTTCCTGAGCCTAGTGGGCTCCCTTCCTTCGTGTTTTTCCCGGCTGCCCCGGGGTTTTCTTGACGCTGGGGCTTTGAGGGGACAGCTCGGCCCCGGGGCCTGCAGAGTGGGTTCCCGGGGCTGGGGTGGGGCTCACGTGAGAGACCTCAGGCCCCGTTGGTCCCCGCCGGGGTGTTTCTAACCCTCTGGGGGGGGGGGGGAATTGCAGTTTTGTGGTGTGGGGTTTTCCGTTCCCCCTCTCCGCACATGCTTTGTGGGCGTCGGCCCCTCCCTGGGCTTGGTTTCCTTGTCCGTTGTACCCGTTGTTTCCATCCTGCGGAGGGTGCTTTTCTACGATCTTCGCCCCTTTTTCCGGGACGGGCCTTCTTCCATCATGTCCCCTTCCTCTTGGGGTTTCTGCATGACTTGGTCTCGGGTGTGACGGGGTTTTGGGGCCTTCGTCCTTTGTGTTTGCTTTTTTGTTCTCGAGGGTTCGGGACTGTTTTGCTCCTTCCCGTTTTCTGGTGCGTCTGTCGTCATTCGGTTGAGCTTCCCTCCGGTCCTTTCTAGGGCTTGTGGGTCCTCTTCCCAGCAACTTCTGGGTGTTGGCCTATTTGTTCTTTTGTGAATACCTCTTCTCTTCACACTGTCTCGGCGCTCCTAGTTTTCCTGGGAGCGATTTTGCTCCTAATGAGTCTTTTCGCTCCTGCCCTTCTGCGGGATGTTGGTGCGGGGCGGCTACTTATGTGAGTTCCTTCCCTGTCAGCTGCACTTGTGGGGGTGGTCTTGCACACTTGTGGCATTCTCGTTTTGGTCCAGCGTTTTCTTTTCCCTCCTGAGGGTGTCATAGGATTGGCTTGCGGAGGATGTAGTGGCGCTTGGGGCCGTTCCTGGGTCTGGCACCTTGGTTTCTGCTGCTAGCTTTCGGTATCGATATTCCTTCTGCGCCGTTTCGCAGGTTGTATCGTGCATTGTTACACCTCTGGCCTGCTTATGCACTGCCTGTGTCGTCCTGGTCTTTGGACAGGGTGCTCTCCTGTTTTTCTTCTCCTTGGTGGTTGTGGCTCCTTGGGGTCAGGTTTGCTTTGCCTCGGTTTTCTTTTTGTGTTGGCATTCGCCTCTGGGGGCCGTGTGGCAGAGCTTCTTGCTCTTCTCAGGCGCAGGGGTTTTTGGCTCCTATTGTCGTGATCTTAAGTTTTCTTCGTCTGTGGCCGTTCTCCCTTTTTCTGGCGAATGCTTTACCTTGGGTTGTTGTCTTGACTTCGTGTTGTGGAGTGTTTCTCCGACCGCCTCCCGGGTATGTCCCCTTGTTTTTAGGTAGTCTTTGGTGAGGTAGCTCCGGGGTGCCGTAGGGGCTCCCCCCAGAAAACCAGCGTTGAATGTAATGAAACGCCATTTTCTGGGTGAGTCCCGGAGGCTCCCCGGCACCCTCCCGCCCTCCGGTCGGCGGGGTTTTTTCACGGTTTTGATATTCAGCCTCAGAACTGGGGCGGGGATCGCCGGCGCGGGGGTCTGGGGCTTTCCCTTTCCCCTCCCAGGGAGGGGGGAGCTGCGCAGACATGCGGCTCGCGTGACGTCATGCTTGTTAGTTCGTTTTCCTGGGGGAGTTCTGTCCACTCGTTTATCGATTTTTGTTGTTTAACCAGAATAGGGGTTTGTTTTGTGGCGCTTACCTTTCTGGGTGCCTGTCCCGGTCGTTGGCAGATATAGAATGCTCCAAATCACATGTGCATTTCTATGGGCCATTGCTCCCCGTGCCTCTCTGAGGGGACCAGGTTCTGGCTCGTGGTCCCCGGTAGGCCTAGAACTCCACCCACATCGACTGATGCAAAATAGTTGAGGTATCCATATCAGCCATGGATAGCTCCGGGGAGCCTCCGGGACTCACCCAGAAAATGAACACAGTGTGCATTTTCCCTCTGTTTCGCCACGCTGAGGCGCTGGAATAGAAAGCTGGCAGCTCTAGGGTCCCTTGTTGTTTCAATGAGCTCAGAACCCAGTTCCTTCAAAAAACTGGTAGCACTTTTACCCCAGGCACCGAGTGTCTCAGAAGCAATGGGGACAAAATTGTAGTGGTGATCCAGTTCTCTGTACTTACAGGATTTGGCTGCTTCCCTGTGGGTGGCATGGCAACCTGGCTTTGCAACACTGAGGTCAATGTAGGTGTCCCAGGGTTGATACGCACGTGTAGCCCCATACCAACTGCTTGCAGCTCTTCCAGGGGTTCACTGTGATACCATCTGGGCGACCAATAAGACCATCAGAGTTATGGGGGCGCTAGGAAACGGGCTCTCTTTCAGCTGGGCATCCAGCTGTGGTGAGGCTCCTCTTGATGATGTCGTTAACTTCACTGTCAGGAAATCGCTTTAAGAAAGGCACTTATGTGTTGTTTTCCCAAGGCAACATTGTTATTGTGTAGTAACCACCTGAAGGAAAATGTTCGACACTATTTAACTGATAATATTGGTTGTACAAACACCGAGAGGATTTGTATCCAAAAGAAAATTTTTGGTAAAAATGGTAAGAAGTTTTTTGGTAAGAAGTGTTTGTGAGGATCAGTTTGAAAGGGGAATCAACAACTTCATATTTTGCTTTTACAAATACCCAAAGTTCAAAGATTATTTTGATAGCCGTTTGAAATCTTCTCTATGGAATTATGTGTGTGTACCTCATGCAAAAGTGCCAAGTGAAAAAATCGTCCCAATTTGTTGCAACTGTCGAGGCAGCCACAATGCTGGTTCCTCTCTATGCCCCATGAAGCCTCATCTGAAAGAGACTAGGACGGGTCCTACAAGCAGGATAGATGTATCCTCGCAGCAAGGAAAGATTGTGCAAGAGGAACATGGAGGAAACAGCTGGAAGCCAATGACAGCCCCTATGATCAATGTGTGGGAGAAAGGGACGGAGAAAATAAAGGCGAGCTTAGGGAAAGTACATCATGCAGTGGGAAAACTGAAACCTTGTGAGGACAAGGTTCAGGACAATATGGTCACCTCTGTGGTTGGTAATCAAATTTTGGAGTATCTAAAAAAAACTAGATAAGAGGATTGAGGCATTGGAAAAATTGGCTATGGAAGGTAGACGGGGTGAAGATGGTGGTGAAACAGGACGTGTAATTGAAAGTGAAACAGGACGTGAAATGGAAAGTGAAACGTGCGTAGAAGAAAGTAATGATGTGCATGACGTAACGATGATAGAGGATAGTCAGGAGAATACACTTTCTAGTAGTGTTAGCGGTGTTCAACCTCCTGTTGTGACAAATGTTGAAAGAACGGTTAATGTAAAACGGGTTACAGAAATAACAAAGAAAATAGATATGAATAATATTACCTTCGATGTTAGTAGTAGTTGTGAAAGTGAGGGGAAAGAAAAAATGTCACAGTGTTGGAAGGAAGTTTCTAAGATACTCTCGTATCTCATGAAATGTGACGGACAGGGCAAAGGTAGTTTTATTATTAATCATGGATGAAAGTAAATTGAGAATATTATCTTGGAACGTTAATGGATTAAAAACTAGAGCGGTGGATGTACACTATTATACTCTTAGAGAGGATATTGACATAGTAGCACTCCAGGAAACTGGGGATAGGGATGGTAGCATTCTGAGGCTAAATGGCTATAGAGGTTTTCACTTATATGCTGATGGGATGGTAGCATGGTTGGTTGGATGGTAGTGGTTGATAAATGTTGGTAACTCTAGTGGACACACAAAAATTTATGAAAAAATTATTTTTCCTTTTGACATTGTTATTAATCATCCAGGAAGCATAAAAATACAAGTATAAAGTCTCTAGCGCTCCTGGCTTAGCTGTTGTGTCGCAAATAAGTTGTGTTTTTTGGTTGAAATGAAGTAAGGTACCACACGGGAATGGCACTGTCTATTTTGATCACTGTGTCATTTGCAAATTTTAAGATGTAGTTCATGAAGTTGTCATCTATGTCATTGCTGTATAATTTTACAAAAAAGGTTGAAGCTAATATTAGTACTGTGTTAGTACTCTGGTTTCCATTTTTCCAATCAGATTCTCTTCCATTTAGGTTGACCATTTGCTATCTTTGTTTTAATCGTTGTTTAATCTATATCAGTATTTTACTATTAATTCTGTGTTTGTAGTTTCTGGCTCAACCTTTAATGTGGTATATCATAATCAGTTTAAGAGAATCCTTGTGTATGTTATCGACTGGAAATCCTGTGTCTGTGTAGTTGATTACTACTTCCAGAAAAGTAAGCAAGTTTGTTACGCAGTATTTGTTTTTGACAAAACTGTGTCGTAATGCCTTTTGCAAGACTGTGAACTGTTAGATAGCAAATAAATTCTTCTCATACTATTTTCTCCATGAGCTTGCAGATTTGGGAGGTTAGGTTGATTGGTCTCTAGTTTTCTGATACACTTTTGTACAGTATTTATTTAATACAACAGTGACTGTTGCATATTTCAAGATTTAAAGAAACTTTTCCCTTGGTCTAGGTATTTTCTTAATAGGAGTTTGTGTTAAACACAGTTTATCAGCCAGGCACAGTTTATCAGCTTTGGCTTTCGCCTGAATTCCCAGGAAAAATTCCCAGGAAAAATAGAGGGGTCCTTTAACATGTTACTGGCTTCCTGTCCCTATTGTGGCCATGAGATAGATGTTGACCCTCAGGGAAAATTCTGCTTCAGACATCTATGTGCATCTTGGCAAATGGTCTTATCTTTCTAGTGTGAACATTAGTGTAAAATACTTGTGTAGTAGTTACTTGTACAGTAATGTACATTACTTGTACAGTAGTGTAAATGACTTTGCAACACTCAGAGAAATATACAGTACTCTTCAAGATACCCTGACAGAAGGACAGTAAACACTACCACTCAACAGCATACCACTATACCTGATCAACCAGGCTGTGACTCATCCGTCAGGCTGCGAGCAGCCGCGTCCAACAGCCTGGTTGATCAGTCCAGCAACCAGGAGGCCTGGTCGACGACCGGGCCGCGGGGACACTAAGCCCCGGAAGCACCTCAAGGTAACCTCAAGGTATGGAGGAACTAGGGGGGTCTCATGTTATGTCAAAAGTACCATACCTGCCGAGATAACTGGAATCCCTCAGAGATATAGAGGTATTGAAAGTATTAGCTTGCGGATACAATTAAAGGACCGAGAGTTAAATTTCATTAATCTATACATCTCTGATAGCTCCCTTGATTTAAGATACTTGCCAGATTCCTTCTTTTCTGAAGATAAACTTGTGGTAGAGGATTTTAATGCCAGACATCCAGCTTTAGGATCAAGGGGTAAAGCAAATAGGAATGGTTAGTTGCTGCGTCTACAATTTCCTCCATAGAGACGGCTGTCTCATGACAATCTGCAAGAGTGGGGTCAGCTTTCTGTAACTCACTCAAGGAGGCATCTAGGCCTTGGTCAGATGCTATTGGCCGAGGCTCAACAGTGTTCTCCTCCACCTCCCCACTACTCTCGGTAGATGGCGGTGGCAGGCTCTCCACAATGTCCTCAGCCACGTCATCGAGTCGGGCCATGAATGTGTCCGCGAGGTCCACTTGGTTTTCACCACTCGGAAAGTTCCTCGTGTCCTCGGGATTTACTACCTTGGCAAGCACAGGGCTGCCCTTACATTTAAGTCCCATAGACCTGGTCACTGCGCACGCAGGGTACACAACATTATCCTCTGCGGCGGGTGGATCCAGGCAAACCTTAGGGGTAGGCAATATAATAGGCAGTCTGGAGTCCCCTACCTTATCCCCTGCTAAATCATTACCAACTATTACATCAACATTAGGGAAAGGTAGGTATGAAGTGACTCCGACTGTACAAACACCCTTGTGGAAATCAGATTCCAGGGTAACCTTATGGAGGGGTACTGCCCGAGTATCACTAGTGACACCCTCGACCAGTACCACCTCTCCAGTGTCGAGAGTGTTGGCACCTTGCAACGCACTCTCTAAAATTAAAGTCTGGATGGCACCGGTGTCTCGGAAGATCACCACGTCCTTCCAGGAAGAACCCTCAGACAAAAGTAGTCTCCCTTTCGATAAGAATGGGGTAAGCAAGTCCAACCACTGTGGGTTGGAGGTCTTACTCCCTAACCCTTCTGAAGGCCTCAAGCCCTGTGTCACAACTAGAGCATTGGGTCTTTTTTCCGGGTACAGTTGCCAACAACGGCTAATATTGTGGTTTGAACGATTACAGTGACCACAAAAACGTCGGGGAGAAGAGATATTACTAACAGAATTACCCTTCGGTTCACCCTTAGGTGCCGTGGGGCTAGACACTTTAACAGGGTTAGTTATGTCTGAAACAGAAGGTGCATTAGTTAAAGGGTTAGAATGAGCTGGTCTGGACTGGCTGTGGGTATAAGTTTTGCTACTCTGTGGGGTATAATTATTTTTATTGGGCCTTTTGCCCGCCAATTGGTAGTTTTCTGCCAACTTGGCCAAATCCCCTATTTTAGAATTTACCTCTACCCTTCCTCTAATGTACTGTGAAACATTCTCTGGCATAATATATATAAAATGCTCCATTAAAATTAAGTTCCTGAGAGCCTCGTATGTTTTGGTTTTCGCCGAGCGAATCCATCTATCAAACAATCGAATTTGATCATTCACAAATTCAGTGAGCGGTTGGTTGTGAGTAGGCCTAAGGTTGCGATAAACTTGGCGGTGAGCTTCAGGAGTAATTTCATATGCCCGCAAAATACATTCCCTGACTTTATCATATTCAAAACACTCGTCGTCAGGCATGTTTATAAAAATATCTTGTGCTTTACTCCTAAGTCTTCCCTGTAGGATTTTCACCCACTCTTCCTTTGGCCAGTTCATGGACGTGGCCAATCTCTGAAAATGGTTGAAAAACCTTTCAGGGTCAGACTCGGAAAATTCAGGCAAATTATGCTTTTTCTCATAATGCCTGGGGTTTGAATCCCCGGCAGGTGGAGGTCCAGTGGCATTCGCTCTAATTCTAGCCTCCTCGGTTTTGAGTCTTTGCTCCTCTAATTTTATTCTTGCTAACTCTAGAGCTAATTCTCTATCCTTATGAGCTGCACTTTCTGCTTGGCTAGGCTGGCATAAAGGTGTATCACTTGCCAATAGTTCTTCATTAATACAATGTTGTAATATTTCATTCACCAAAGTCCACTTTTTATCCGCTTCATTTAATTCTAGGCCAAATTCCTTGCTTAACAATACTAAATTAGACTTTTTAAGTTTCTTTATCTCTACCACTGAAGGCTCGCTTGCCAGTCTCTGCATTTCAGAAGACATCACTAATAATTTTAGCTCCCAGCCAAAGAAAAAATTAAAAAATAAAAATTGGAAAAAAAACAAAAATTTGCACGGCCCCTAACACAAGGCCACACTAAACTTAATCGTGAAGGGATCCAGCTGGGTGTCCAGTCAGTGCAAGAATGTCCTTAGCTAGATGAGCTGGACCCTAGGCTAGCACACAACCGTTCTGCGGAAACAAAAAATTTTAGTTTTGTCACTCAAGAATCTAATTTTTTACACTTATAATGTTCCTCCCGGACAGGCCCCCACTTGTTATAAATAATGGTGTATTGGCTTCTATGGGGTACTGGTACTATTAAGGGGTAAGGGTAGTTAGAAGACAAGAGTATCAAATATGGGAGAGCTAAAAGGCCCGGCCCCCAAAATAAACTATCCACAGTAGTAATAACTTGCTACTAGACCATATATGTTAGTCTAAGGGTTGATCAATGCGCTCCCACACAGGAAGAAGGGATACTCTGTAATTCATGTACTTATTTATTAACCCCTTAACAACCCCCCATATACACTCACACCAATAACAATAATAATAATAACTTTACCACACTATCTTACGTTAAAAGCCTTGGTCCACATAGGCAGGATACAAGGTTTACACTAATAACAAGCTAGGGTAAAGTACAACTGGATAAGCACTGAAGCTGGATGCAGCTTAGGGTAGCGAGACCCCACGTGGTACCCTAATACAAAACACAACACTTAGGGTTACCCAAAACACTGGCAACTACTACCCCCAGGTCTCACCAATCATTACTACCAGAGAAGGTACACTTAGAAATCATACAATACTTAACTTAATGGTACAGGAACTTAAGGTAAAGGAAATAAGTAAGAGGAGAAGGGAGGAGATTAGGGGTGCAGCCACAGAGTAGGTCTCGTCCGCACGAACGCCAGCCAGAGAAGGCCTCCCATGTCGTGGTGCCGGAAGGAGCCTAATTGATCGTGCAGCTAAGCACATTAAAGATCTTCCCCTATGCAAAGTATTGTTACTTTACAAATGATTAGAAAGTATTAGTAAGCAAAGTTGGTGCCTATGTTATTATTTAATAATCAACCCCCAGCTCAGTCTTTAAATGCTCTTTGAGAAACAATAATAGTCTTACGTCTGGCAGGGAAGATACAAACAATTGCCGCTCGAGATACACTCAACTGTACTACCAGAAAGTTTAATAGCTCAATTTTGACCTCTGGTTTCCACTGGAGAACCCAGGGTCGTAACACACACTCACACAGACAACAATACTGGATTCCTCAGGGAAGACAGTCAGTCAAATCAATCTTGAAGAATTGCATGATATGCCGAAGGTACGATGCAAGAACTTGATCTTATCCAGGGCCACCACCCCTACCAAAGGAACGAGTGGTCCATCTACACCCTTTCGAAACGACTGGAGTAGATTATACAGGAACAATATATCTAACAGGGACTGCAGATAAGCAACCTATCAAGGCATACATCTGTCTGTTCACCTGTGCTACCACCAGGGCAGTACATCTAGAGGTAACACCCAATATGACTGCTCAATCATTTATTCAAGCTTTCCGCAGATTCGCAGGACGCCGATCATGCCCTAAGGTAATGATTTCAGATAATGGAGCAAACTTGGTAGCTGGAGAAGTATGTCTACGAGAAATCTGTTCCTATCCTGCAGTTACTTCCACACTGGAACATCGTCATTGCAGATGGAAATTTATCCCTCTGAGAGCTCCATGGCATGGAGGATTTTATGAACAGTTAATTGGAACTGTCAAAAGATCCTTGAGAAAATCTCTACACCGTCAGAAAATCAATCTTCAAGAACTCCAGACAGTAGTCACGGAAATAGAATCAAGGGTGAATAACCGGCTGTTGACTTACTTGTCTGATGATCCTACTCAACATGAGCCATTAAGTCCTGCCCACCTAATGTATGGAAGACTTCTGACTACGGTACCATCTCTAGTG